AAGCATACTCTAAATTTATCAATAAATATGCTGCTTTGGAACACATGTCAAAGGTCAAATCTGAAACTAAACAACACTCGTATTTTTTACCCCATCATGGTGTTATCAAAGAGAGCAGCCTCACCACTAAACTACGCGTAGTTTTTGACGCTTCTTGCGCAACTAGCTCCGGCTATTCTCTTAATGACCTACAGATGGTGGGTGCAACATTGCAGCCTGACTTGTTCTCAGCACTTATTCGTTTCAGAAAATATAACTATGTAATCGCGGGAGATGTAGAAAAGATGTACAGGATGGTTCTTATAGTTCCGGAACAACGAGCATTACAGCGTATTTTATGGCGTGAAACTCCTGCTGACCCAATTGATATTTATGAATTAGCAACTGTCACATATGGCACTTCATCAGCTGCCTTTTTAGCCATAAGATGCCTTTACCAAGTAGGTCTAGATTGTGCCGAAGAGTCTCCAGTTATTTCCGAAATCATTAAAAAACATTTTTACGTGGACGATTTTCTTAGTGGAGCCAATTCCATAAATGACGCAATTCTTATAGCTAACGAAGTTTCTCGATACTTAGAAAGGAGTGGTTTCAGGTTACGAAAATGGATTTCCAATTCACCCGAGGTTTTAGATCATATCGAATCAAATGATAAGGTTAATTCAATCGACTTTGGCATACACGAAAATACAAAAAACTTTAGGTTTGGTTTGGAGTGCACAAACTGATAGCTTGACCTATAATATCAATGATTCTATTGTGAAGCAAATTACCAAAAGGTCAATCTTATCTGAAATTTCGCAAATATTTGACCCTTTGGGTCTTTTGAGTCCTTCGATTATAATCGCTAAAATGATCCTACAGGAACTGTGGTCGGAAAAACTATCTTGGGACGAAAGTGTTCCAAACTACTTGCATAGTCAATGGTTACGATTTCGCAGTGAGTTAAAATGCTTGAATAATCTCAAAATAGATCGCCAGATCACGTGCTCGGATTCAAACAGCATCGAAATACATGGCTTCGCGGATGCGTCCACACGAGCCTTTGGAGCATGTGTTTATGCTAGGTGTAAGGGCGATGACGGTGATTTTGAAATTAGTTTGATCTGCTCAAAATCTAAGGTCGCTCCATTGAAGACACAAACAGTTCCTCGATTAGAGCTCATGGCTGCTGTCTTACTTGTACAATTAATTGAAAAGGTCAAGTCCTCCATAGATGTTTGTATAAATCGCATAGTTTACTGGTCAGATTCTACCGTGGTTCTGGGCTGGCTCAAAATCGAACCTAACCTTTTACAACCCTTTGTAGCAAATCGAGTGGCAAGGATTCAAGAGTTGGTTAATACAGATAACTGGCGACATGTGCCAACATCAGAAAATCCTGCAGACCACGTTTCTCGCGGAGTCATGCCTAAGGATTTGGCTTCTCTCAACATCTATTGGCACGGACCCGATTGGCTAAAGCATGACGAATTTCATTGGCCAACTTTACCTTCCCTTCACGTAGAGCTCCCAGAATTTCGTAAAAACGTTTATACTCATGTTGAGACTTCTACCACGAATCTATCTCTTTTCGAAAGGTACTCTTATTTATCTAAACTGGAACGTATTGTTGCTTATTGTTTGAGATTCAAGGAAAATTGCCTAAAAAGGGCATCTGATAGATTTTTGGGTCCATTGCTTTACAGCGAAACCAAAAGGGCCTCATTACGGTTACTAAAAATGTCACAAATTGAATCATTTCCCAACGAAATAAGTCTTTTGTCCAAAGATCCAACTAAACTTAACAAAGGTCCGTTAGCAAAGCTATCAACATTTTTGGACAATAATGGAATGATTAGAGTCGGCGGTAGGCTAAAACACTCGGCACTACCATACCATAAAAAACACCCTTTTTTATTGTCATCAAAACATATATTGACCAAACTTATTTTCAAGCGGGAACATGTCAGCCTGTTACATGCAGGACCCCAACAAATTTTATACCATATTCGTGAAAAATTTTGGCCTTTAGCTGCTCGTAATCTAGCCAAAAAGACGGTACACAACTGTATTAAATGTTTTCGGGCTAGACCAAAAATAATAACCCCACTTATGGGAAACCTACCAAAGAGTCGAATAAGTCCTGCTCCGCCATTTTACACAACAGGTGTCGATTATTGTGGGCCTTTCCCCATCAAAGTCGAAATGGTCGCGGCTGTAGAATTACCAAAGGTTATGTTTCACTTTTTATTTGCTTTGCTACTCGTTCTATCCATCTGGAACTAGTATCCGACCTCTCGAAGAATTCTTTTATGGCTGCCTTGCGAAGATTTATTGCTAGACGTGGAAAGCCATATCAGATGTACTCAGACAATGGTACCAATTTTGTTGCTGCTAGTTCAGATTTAAAACCTTTAGGTCAATTTTTAGAAGTTAATGCATCTGATTTGGCGGGCACCATAGAAAACGAAGGCATTGCATGGTCATTCATACCATCTCATTCACCACATTTTGGGGGCCTTTGGGAGGCTGGAGTTAAATCCACCAAACATCACCTCAAACGCATTGCCGGGAACGTAAAACTAACCTTCGAACAGTTTAATACATTGTTAGCACAAATCGAGGCCGTCCTTAATTCCCGGCCAATTTCACCCCTATCATCAGACCCATCCGATTTTAGTCCATTGTGTCCCGCTCACTTTCTCATCGGACGCCCATTGAATTCTGTTGCCGATCCAAATTTGCTCGAGATCAATACAAACCGTTTAGACAAATTTCAACAAATTCAGCAGTTGCAACAGCATTTTTGGAAAAGGTGGTCCCTCGAATACATATCCGAGCTTCAACAACGTCAGAAATGGTTAAAATCTGAGAGGCCACTACGTGTCAACGATTTAGTATTAATAAAGGATGACCATCAGCCACCACTCAAATGGTTGCTGGGACGAGTTCTTAGCGTACATCCAGGATCTGATGGAGTTGCTAGGGTGGCAACAGTAAAAACATCCACGAGCACTCTGAGACGTTCATTCGCAAAGCTGTGTCCTCTGCCGACGAATGATGAAATTTAAGTGAACCAGCATGTGCGCGAGTGTTCTTAATCGCCATTTGTACTTTTCATTTTGTTTGTTGACTGTTGAAAGTACCTACTTTCAAAGCCGGGGGTATGTTAGTTTTGTCATGACTCAATAAATATAATTCAAATAATAATTCAAACCGGCAACGCTGTGCACCCTGTCAAAACCCATCCAGTTCAAATGTGATGGCACCCGATCAACAAAAAGGGAGTGAGAATAACGGTTTAGCCGGGCGAAAAAGAGACAGACATATTTGCTTTAACTTGTTCTTGTTACTGTCTTGTATTCACTTGTAATTTATGACTTGCATTTGTATTCTGGTAGAATAAACACGTAATAAAAAACGTCTCCTATTTTTCTTGTTAATCTATAGCAAAATTATACATAAAAAAGTATTTTAAAACCCAGCAAAATAGAAATACAGTCCACAATCGAACAAATCAACAGGGTTTTGTGGGTGTTTTATGAGATGATTGTTATTGGGTGTGCTTCTGAAATCCGTATTTCTTTAGGTCGTAAACAAAAGTAGGTAGTAAAATAAAATTCTTGATTACACAGTGTGTCTTACGTCCAGAAATATGATCATCAGATAGAGGACCTGAAATAAAATGGAAGTGAATTATAGGATGAAGCAGGACACAGATTTTTTAGGCAAAGTGGATTCTCTTGTTGCAGACATAATAAAGAATACCTATACCATTACATGTTTTTGGGGATCATAAGAAATGAGTTACTTTAAATGTAGCAGAAGAGACTCAGAAGAAAATTATATTCCCCTTATGCAGGCATGGGTCTCCTTCAAGATATTGATGTATGCTTAAACATACTCGTTTTTAATGCAGCAAGCCTTATCCATAATATGGATAATAATCTTGCAGAGAGCTATAATTCGGTAATATGCGAGTTTGTTGGAGGAAAAAGAATTAATTTTAGCTAAAAAGCGAAGCTGCCGCAATTTCTTTCAATGTAGGTAGTGAGACTTTCATCTTACCATGTGCAAGGCGATTGGTAACGCCACTCCTGAAGCCTATACAAAAAAAATACTGGAAAATTAAAAATAAAAAGATCAAAAATAATAACAAAAAAGCTATTTACTGAAAAAAAAACAAATGCGCATCTTCCAGATAAAGATTATGGACCAGATGCTAATGCCGAACCGGATATGACTGAAGAACAGTACCAGTTTAAAAAGAATATGCTTCTAAAGGCGCTCAAATAGTCAGGAGAAGAGCAGGAAATGAGCCTTCGGCTAACCGCCTCTAATTTTGGAACTGTTTGCAAAATGAGGAAAACAAGAAGTTGCGGAAAGACTGTGAAGAATCTTCTATATTCTAAATTTATCGGAAGTTCTGCAACAATATATGGAACAGAAAATGAACCGTTAGCCATAAAAGCATACGAAACCTACACAAACAAAAAATTATTTTTTGGCAGCTAGTCCAGATGGACTTATTCAGGAGGAGGGGATAATTGAAGTCAAGTGTCCTTCCTCAGGGGAAAAAATGACGCCAGAAGAGGCGTATCAACAAAAAAATAATAATTTTTGCTACCTTGAATAATGGAAAATTTGAGATGAAGCAAAACCACAAATATTTTCACCAAATTCAGGGATAAGTACACATAACCAAAAGGAAATATTGTAATTTTCTAGTCTGGGCGCCATTGGGATTCCATACAAAAGGTATGATTTTTGCCATATTTTTATAAAATGTTTGTGAATATAAAATAGATATTTTTATAACTATACATTTCTGTAAGGTACAGTTTGCAGAATCCGACGCTCTTTTAATTGTAATATACCTATTGTTTATTTATTTCAGATAGAGAGAGATTATTTATTCTGGGAAGAGCAAATGGAACCATTATTGTAACAATTTTATTTCAAATGTCTACTTCCAGAAATAATTGATCCGAGATTCACGAGAGGACTAAAAATAAGAAATGCTGACAGATCCTTTATTTCTTGGTTATTTTGAGAAAGAGAAACGAAGACTCGACACAGTGATGGCCTACGATTTGAATGGATTTGGCAGAGAAGGTATGAAACACATCCCAGGGACTAAAATTTATGTAGTTGCTAAATATGCTAACCTATTACTAGGAGTCGGTTACATCTCTTATGCATCAATTGTATTTATTTTTATATGTCCCAGTTCCCACTCCTATGAGTCGTAATTTTTCATTCCTAGTATTTGTAACAAAGACAAAAATTTTATTTTTTTTCAGGTCCGGCTCTAGGATCAAGCTATATTTCTGAACCATCTGAAGAGATTTGTGAGGAGAATACCCAGGATCAGGACAATAATAATAATTTAACAGGTAAAATATTCTGAGACATATTCATAAATCGATTATGGTTTAAAGGGTAAACCAATAACATACTTTTCATAAATAAAATCTATTTATAAGAAGTAGATAAGTTGATTATTATCTAGTATGTATATCCGAGTCTATATCGGATTTGGCCAAGTTCAACTATTGTAAAATTGCCACCCTTTTCCTTATTTCCGAACAGGGGATCTATTCTGGAAGTCGTTCGAATAATGTCCGTATACGATAATTTCTCGAATGACCTTTTCGAATACGAATAGTAAATGGTATTCTTGAACACTCTTCGGAAAATATTTCGTATGCGAAAATTTAACTCGTATAAGAAGCACATCAACAGCCAACGGTAGCTTGCGCCAATAATTTTCGATCAAAAATTAAAAAAAAGAAGTATTGTTCTAACCTAACCTTAAAATTTCTTGCTTGTTTTTGTTTTTATTTGAATAATTTTTTTGTTTTGGTTTATGGTTTTCGACATAGAGTTTTCGAGCAGAATATTTTTACTTTTACATGGTGATTTTTGGTTTCATTTTTGTTGGCAGCGGCACTTTTGTACTTCTAAAAAGTCTCGAATATGGAAGAGAAAAAGGGTAGAAGTTTAACTCGTGAACAAAAAAAAGTTCTGATACAATTTATAGAAGACCATCCGGAACTTAAAACATCAAACTTTTCAAAAGATTTTACCTTTAAAAAGGGACAAGCCTTGTGGGAGGAAATTTCCTCAATTTTAAATGCCATGCCGGGCGCAAACAAGGGATGGATAAAATGGCGTAAGGTTAGTATAAAAATAATTACTTGCTCTCTGTTCATATTACAACTACACCACTATATTTTTTAGACATGGCATGATATAAAAAACGCAGTGAAAACCAAATCTGCAACTATAAGGAGACACTTGGATCAAACTGGTGGTGGCCCTCCTATAAATGAGGAAATAACCAATGAGGATCAGAAGATTCTAAACCTAATATCCCCAGTAGTTATAGAGGGTATGCCTGAAGTAGCTGAATCGATGACAGTTTTTACAATGCCACCAAAGAAGGAAGTTAAGCCTAGCACTTCATCCTCATTTGTTCCAGTTGAAGTGGATGTGATTGTGTCCAATCCAAGGGTTGATCAAACTGTTGACGAACCCGAGGACGAACCATTGGTAACCCCGAGGGTAACACCTAATGAGGCTAAAGGGTCAAGATTTTCCAAAACCCCTGTAAGGGTTCAGAGGCTAGACAGGTCGATAGGGGCGTCTGAAAAAATGGCTAAGATAATGGAGGGAAAGAATATCATTTATGAAAACTACCTCAAAGAAAAAATATCCTTGATGAGAAGGGACTGTGAAGCCAAAGAGAGGATAGCTTCAGCGTTAGAACATCTCACTGCTTCTTTAAATAATAATAGCAACCATAATAGTGATAGTGAGTAACTTAGTAACTATGTTGACTTAAATATTTTTTGTTAAAAAAAAACTTCCAATTCTACTGAATTGTATTGGGTACTTAGCTTATAGATTTAATTAAAGTAGTATGTATGTAGTTTAATAATAATTATATTGAGTGATATTAAAATCTTAAGGATGCTCAAATAGATTTAGCCCAAAGTCTATAAATGTAAGTTTAGTAGATTACTGTTAGTTCAGCCCTTAGTGAAAAGCTGTTTTTTTTTTTGTTTGAATTAGTTTAGTTTATATTTAAGGACAAGGATATAGTGATATTCGAGGTGATAATATACTACTTTTTGAGTGATATTGAAAATGAAAAACTGTTAAAATATATTCAACATAAACTTTAGTCTTTAGTAAGTAAGTAAAAAAATTGAATTCTATAGGTAGAATAGAAATTACTATCGTCTAGTCATAGTTCTTATATTGAGTGATATTTAAAATCAAATAATATTGAAATATAATTATTAAGTAAAAGCCTATAAATTTGAGTGACGGTCACTATCACTGTGATAAATAAAGCACTTAAAGTTGTTGAAACATTTTTTATTTTGGTATTAAACGAACTTATATCAATACTTGTCTTATTTTACTTTTTACAATTACAAATACATAAATTTGAAAAAAAAATCCATAACCCTTATACCCTATAATCCTTAAACCCTGTAATCCTTAAACCTTATAATCCTTAGACCCTATAATCCTTAAACCCTGTAATCCTTATACCCTATAATCCTCATACCCTGTAATCCTTAAATCTAATTATTCTGTTCTTAGAATTCTAAAAATAATTTCTCACAATCCTTCTCTGTATATGTTCTCCTGCGACCAAATCTGGATTGCGATGCTGTTGAATGTGATTTACATTGTTTGCATCGTGATGGTAAATTCCAAAGTCAACATTTTCATCTGGTTGTAGCTGTGGTGGTAGGGGATTATTATTATTAATGCATATATTGTGCAGAACTGTGCAGGCATTAATAATTTTACCCGCCTTTTGGGGATGGTAATGTAGGGAACGGTGTTTCAAGAGACATCTAAACCTCATCTTCAAAACCCCATTACATTGCTCTATAAGAGACCTGCAGGTTCTAAATGCAATGTTATATCGATCCTCTGGACTCCCAGGTAGAGCAGCTGCAATAGGTTTCATTAGCCAAGGTCTTAAATAGTAGCCTGAATCTCCTGAAAAATAAAACATAAAATAATTTGTATCTGAACTGAAATCATATAAGCATATTTTTAACAAATCAAAGTCAAGTATAAAAATCTTATTTGCCATTTGTATGGAAAGAATTAAACTACTAACTTACCAATGAAATGAAAGGAATTATATCCATTTCTATGCAAGTCTGTGATATATTGCAAAGCACTGCTGTTATTCCACACATGCATGTCATTTGAACTTCCAGGAAATCGAGCAGATACATTTATTATCCTAAGATTATCATCACAAATCTGAAAAAAAAATGTTTAGGTGACAATGATAATACTTAATACTTAAAAAATCTTACCAACTGGGTGTTAATTGAGTGATAACCCTTCCGATTCACATAGGCTACTTCGGGAAAATTTGGTTCAGCTATGTTTGGAGGAAATATTGCCACATGGGTGCAGTCAACACATCCAACAACTCCTGGCAATCCATATTTTTGAAAAAATCTATAATTTTAATAGTTATTCGACAAGTACCTACTATTTGAGTTTGCATAAGTAAGTAGGATTACACAAAAGTTATTTAATATACAAGTGATTTAAGCCTAGAAGTTGTGAAAGATAATTTTTAGCAAAAAAGTTTTGTAATGCAATTCTAAAATTGCTTTTTTATTTTATTCAAGACATAAGTAAAATGAGCAAATTTTTTTTTCCTCAAGTGAAAAAAAATTCTTCAGTAAATTTTCCCAATAGTTGCTATAGATTTACTGTAACTTTGCTCCTATACCTACATTCAAAATCTAAATCATGACCTATATTGAAGAAATATATTTTTTAAAAAGTACCTACAATACATAAAGGTGCATAAAGTATAATATGTCTATTGTAGTTTTGTTTATCAAAATGAGATAAACAAATTTTTTGAACAGCATATTACTTACCTATTTCTAATTGCTTCCAACTCAGGTACAGTTGGAGGAAGCTTTACAAATGTATTGAAAATAGCTGGGGTATTAATAGCATTAGTAACTTCTTCAAGGCACCTGGATACTGATTCCTGTGAAACGGAATGGTGCAAATTTCGACCAATATCCATTTGGTAACTTCCTGAACCGAAAAATCTCAAAGCTGTTAATACCTAAAAATATCAGTAATCGTTGAATATACTAAAATCTTGGATGAATAATAATCAAATAAATTTTCATGAACAAAAATAACCTACTACATAACTATAGTTGATAATATATATATATATATATATATATATATATAATATAATATAACCAACTACATTATAGTTATAGTTGATACTACAACACCCACCTTCCTTTCGATGTTAAGGGCACTCACCCTATTCGGCTCTACCATAAAAGGCCGAATTATGTCAATGAGCTCATTAACACTATTTTTGGTTAATCTATATATTTGAACAAATTGGTCGTCGCTCTCTTCAAATGGATTGTGGGGCACATAATGTCGAGGGGGACCCCTATTGGCCAATAATTCTGCCTCTTCCACATTTTCCACTGCATTTACATATGCGATATCTTCAATATCCATTTTATAATAAATAATAAATATAAGCTTCAAAAATTTTGTTTATCACAACACACAAATCAAATAACTAACGTCTAAAATTAGTAAAATTCTATAAATATTAGGTTAGAGAACGCTTTTCGTATGCGTATTTTCGAAACTCGAATGGTTTATTTCGAACGACTGCCTTTCGCATGAAAAATCCGCATTCGACCCAAATAAAAGTGTTCAAGAATTGCATTATTTTGTCTCATTCGAAAAAGTGCCGATTTCGGCAAACATCCGTATACGAAATAATTCAAGAATAGGCCGCCTGTTCTAACATAAAAAAGGACAATATATATTTTAGATGTAATTTCACACATAGGCGTGCGGATGGGGTTTTAAATTAAAAATGCGTAAACACCTACTGGATGAAAAAATCCATACAAGCTTCCTTTTTTTTAAATTGTCTTTCTAGCTGATCTACATTTCTTACAACCGTTCCACTAACACTGTAAGCTAAAGCTACCCGTTCCCAAGCCTTCTCCTTAGATTTCATGCATAGGATAAAACCAAATTGAAACTACAAACCTTGTCTGCATTTGGTAATTTATTTGTTTCTTTATTTTCAATAATTTCAAGTTTGCGCTCTCCATAAATAGCTTCCAATAAACGAATTTAATCCTCCTTTGAAAAAGGGGCATTTTTTTTTCTTTCATTTGGTTCTCTGCACCCTTTTCAATCATTTTTGAAATGGCTAGATTTTTTGTCAACACACGTCAAAACCAACTTCAGCTCTTTAATTTCAGTGTTGCCAAATCGGGAAAACTGATAATTACTCCTTTTTTTAACAGACGATTTGAAATGTTTATGGAACACAACTGACTTTAAGGGCTGCATAAAGTATGCTTTAACGAAAAGTGTTCTTTTTTTAAAGCCGACCTTACATCATATTTATGGAACTGGCCGTAAGAACCTTACAGTTGATTGAAAATTATTGGGGTCACCTAGTGATTCATTAAATGTTTGCAATTCTTGTTTTGTTCCAGATGGATGAAAGTTAGACTTTGCAAACTCTTTTCCTTCTTGAGCATTTTGCTACTGACAGAGTAAGAGATATTTAATATCCTCAGCAATTTCTTCAATACATCCATCAGTTGTGGTAGTAGCCCCAAAAAAATTATTTACCACAAAAAAAAAACGTTTCGCTTATAGTCTCACCTTCAGTTTTTTTGCACCCATTACATAGAAACGTTTTATTTTTGTCATCTGCCAGCTTGTTTGTCAATATTACGTCCACGTCTTGCTTAGAAGGAGTCTCTTTGGGTTTATTGTTTTGTTGTGGAATTTTCAACGGTTGTGGAGCAGCTGGCAACTCGCCAGACTCATTACTTTCAACACTTTCCACATTAAATTCTTCAAAATGCCTATTTTTTTGAACGTATCTTATTTTATTATTATTTGCCAACTTTATTGTTATAGTCCAGGAGGTGGCGCCAAAAACATGCAAGAGTTTTCGCAAGGCGGATATTTTCAAAATAGGTCGTACTTTAGTGCTAGAATGCTAGTGTACAGTCAGCACTCACAGTTCCGGGACAGCTGGCTCTGGGACGCGGGCAAAGTTGTAATTTTAAGAAGCATTCAAACTGTTTTCTCAAAGCTCAAAATTTATAGAAATTTTGCACATTATCTGTTTGAAGGTCACAGATAACGTATGTAAATCGTCAGACGTCTAGTTCGTTGCAAAAAGGGGGTCAGACGTCCTCAAAGTTTCTATTTTATGGCATTTTCTTCAAATATATTTGTCAAATACCTGCAAAAATATATTTTGACAGGACACCGAAGAAAATGCCATAAAATAAAAACTTTGAGGACGTCTGACCCCCTTTTTGCAACGAACTAGACGTCTGACGATTTACATACGTTATCTGTGACCTTCAAACAGATAATGTGCAAAATTTCTATAAATTTTGAGCTTTGAGAAAACAGTTTAGATGCTTCTTAAAATTACAACTTTGCCCGCGTCCCAGAGACAGCTGTCCCGGAACTGTGAGTGCTGACTGTGCACTAGCATTCTAGCACTAAAGTACGACCTATTTTGAAAATATCCGCCTTGCGAAAACTCTTGCATGTTTTGGACGCCAGCTCCCCAACTATTACTAGTAAAATAAAGTGCTACTTTATTGCCTACCTGGACAAGGTGAAACAGGTCCTGACAACCTGCCAAGGTGAAACGCGAATTTAACTTTTTTCATTAAATTTTTCTAATTTTTAACAAAAACCAGTTGCAATCGTACATAAAATCATGTATATAACGCTTACATAAACAGGCTTTATTGACTCATTATTTAAAAGCCTCGCTCGCAAGCTCGCTCGGCCATAAAATTATTCGTACAATGAAGCCTTACTTTATGTACTTGTTATATTAATAGCTATTGTTCTACAGAAATTTCATGTAGGTGATCTTAACTAACTTGATTTATACTTAGGGGAGAAGCTTGTACCTTGGGCAGGATTTTTTTCGAGACGTCGTTATATTCACATTGTTGAATTTTAAGGTAAACTTTTTGGGCTAACTTGTATGTTATATATAGTAGAACATTATATTACATAGTAATATTAGTTAAACAATAAAACACATTTATTTTGGGATTTTATTTATTATTACGAATTTGGCCCAAGGTACAAACACATAGTGTACCTTGGACCAACTAGTCTTGTACCTTGAGGCATTTATACAAATTTAAAAATAAATGTAAAAAAACTATTTACATTGTACTTCTCAAAATCTAAATCGAAAATATGTATCCCTTTTTGCCTTTCGGACAATCCTGCCTGACGTGGGGGTGCAAGTTTGAGCAAAACGTCTTCAATATCAGTTTGAAATTGTTGACCACTTGGGCCAGAAAATTTGTTGCTGGTGAGAATTCTTTTCAAGTATTGGACCATTAAACAGGGACTTAAATTAGTTACTTCGGCAACATAGAAATGTATTTTTTTTCCCTGTTAGTTTTGTGAGACAGAAATCACCTATTGCTAAATCGGTAATTTTGACTTCTGTGGGTTTAGCCTGACATTCTTCTATGGGATCAATTTCAAAATCATCTTCAGCATCTAAGTCTGAATCGTCATCATAGACAACAATGTCTTCAGAATCTTCATCTGAGGATGATGACGACGATGACGACTGTAACACCTTTCTCTTCACAATTTCTTTCTTTGCTGCTTTGGGCGTTTTTGTAACGCTTTTTTTGTTGGCTTCAATTTCCATTTTTTCAGGCGTGTCAGTTAATATTCGGGATTTTCCTTTTTTTCGTCCTTTTGCGGAAGCTTTTCTTGGAGCAGCTTGTGGAAATGGACGAATCATTTCTGGTGTGATTATTGCATGTGATGTGGACGGAGTAACATTTTGTGTGGACGGAGTCGTGTTTAATCTGGAGGAAGCAGCGTTTGGTGTGGATGTAATAATGCTGGATGGAGTTGCAACAGTATTTTATGCAGTTGTAGGAATGCTTGTTGTGGATACGGTTGCTAAATGTAAAGATGGGGTTCCTGATGGGGCTCCTTGGGATGTAGATGGGTCGTCATATGGCCGATCAGTTACTGATGATCCCATGAATTCATGCTCTTGAAAGATATTCTCATTAAACGGCCAAATACCTGATACTCTAAAACCGGACTGAATGTTTGAAGGTATGAAGGCTAAAGGGTAGGCTATTCCTGATATTTCGGCCACATCATAAATTGAAATAGGTTTTCCAGGATGAGAATGCATCCAGTCGGCGCATGCTGTGTTGTAGTATGTTTTGTAAGGCCCAAATACGCTTCGGTCTAGCGGTTGGAGCTTGTGACTTGTGTGAGGAGGTAGGGTAAGCATTACTATTCCGTTTTCTCTTGCGAAATCTATTGCCTCGATGGTAATATGGCTTTCATGGTGATCTAGGATAAGTAGCACCTTATTATTAAAGGAACAATTTACATGTTTCAGAAAGTGGTGAAGATACTGTAGAAAGATTGTTTTGTTAGACCAGCCACTGGGGTGAGCAGATCCAATGGAACCAGGAGGAGCACCTTTAATCATGAAGTCTTTATAATTTACTCTCGGAAATATATATAAAGGTGGCACACTGTTTCCTATGGCATTCACGCATGCAATAATAGTAACATTGACACCTCGTTCACCTGATGTTGCGCTTCCAACTTGTTTCACCCCTTTACAGGCCAAAATCTTATCTGAAACTGAAAAAAAAAAAATTATAATAAAGGACTGAAATTTTCCTGACGATGTCAAAAACAAGATAGTGAGAAAAATATTAATTTACCTGGCATATGAACGTTTGTGTTTCCGCTTTCATCTAGATTGTAAATTTTATCAGCAGTAAACTGATGCAAACCCCCCTGAGCTTCTCGAAAAAAGTGGAAACGTTGCGCTTGTTGAAGCTTGTGGACCGGGCTAAACTTGTCGCTTGTGGTTTTCTTAAGCTTATTGTGTTTCTGCGCTTCAAAAAATCCAAATACCATTGCTTTCCGGCGCGACGTTTGTTTTCCCAAGAAGCAGGGATAGTTTCATTGTTTGCCTTGGCAAAGTAGTAGGCAAGGACCTGAAGATCTCGACGGGTAAGGCCATAATGCATATGAGATGCTGTGAGGAGATACTCGCACAAGCTTTTTTCCTCTGCTTCCGAAAACACTTTTTTAACCGCACAATTTTCGTAAGATTTGTAAGCTACGTTTTGCTCAAGTACCTTTTTAGTGTAGATCGGGACACTTTAAAGTCTTTAGATGCAGTACGCACTGAAATATGTTCATTTTGTACAGAATTTGCTGCGGATTGTAAAGCGGCAAGGTCGGGGCATTTTCTCTTTACACCCTGTTTACTTCTTGGCATCTATAAAAAAATATCCATGCAATTATACATCCGAACAAAAAAGTCAAAACAGCGATTGTACCTTGGACCATGGCCCAACGTACAAGACAGGGCCATGGTCCAAGGTACAAGCCTATTAGATATAATAAACAAATATATATACCAATTATTGAACTATGCAATGTAAAAGAGCATGTAAAAACGTTATCTGAATTTTGCTTAGGAACCAAAACTCCTTTATGCAAAATATTTCCGCTAATGGCTTCCAAGATTTGATTATTTTCTACCGTAACAATATATTTAAACATCATATAACTTGACGCAGGATAATCTACTAATGGTTTAACAATTTTATTACCAATACAGTATACAATGTTATCAGATTTAACAAAAAGTAAAGCCTCAAAGATGACACCATTTTTCAAAAATATGCAATTATCTCTCGGTTGGATTGGAACAAATCCATTCTTGTAATGGAATTTTTCATAAAATTCACAGGCACCTAAATTATTTTTCTTTATAATAATAATTAATTGTGCTTCTATTTCAGTTATGTTTTTAGATATTACTCTTTTGTCATTATTAGTATTTATTCTTGATGATTGCCCTAGCTCTTTGGATCACTTGTTCTATAGGCAAATGTGGTTTTCTAAGCATCCATGTTATTGAACCCAAAAAATTTTCGAAACTGAAGCAATTAATTGTATTTAGGGAATCAAATGCTTTTGCTTGCATTGGTAAATGGATAAGCGAATGGACATTGTAGACACAAAATGTTTTTCCATATATTTTAATTGAATGTTTCACAAACAATCGAAGCAATTGTTCTGCATATTCATTATAATGTTTCATTCAGTAAAATGCTTATTCCAAAGCTCAATAACATAAAATTTCCATAAATAAAGGTTGGCACATTTCCGTTCAGAACTACAGGACCAACATAGATCAAAAAGTTGCGTAGCTCAGTGGCCTTCCAGTGTTCTAGTTGGCTAAGAAACTGAGGTTTCCTGTTAAATTCTACTGGCCAGCAATACTTTAATCTTTCGATTTCAATATTAATTTTGTTAATATCTTCAATCCCAAAAGATTAACCACTATCTCTCCATAAAAACAACATTTTTCTTATCACTACTAAACATACACTGTGCATGTAGTCACCTGGAAAATTTGTTACCATTTTCAGTCTTAGTTTTTCTATTGGAGATTCGCCTTTGTGATATGTTTCCATGGATTTAGTAGAAAACGACAAATCGGTTCTTGAATTTGAATGAATATCATTGAAAGTCATCCGTTTCTCCAAGTATTCTCCCTTAACAAGGCAAAAGTCGCATCTATTATAGCTGTTATGAGCCTTGACATTTTTAACGAAACACATTTTTCCCCAATGTCAAATCCATTTTCTAATAAATATTTCATCTCATCTACCAGATTTTCAAAATATTCTTGTAAAGGCGGTTTGCTGTTACCCATATATGAAGACACAATGAATGGAACTTCTATGGTGGCTACTTTGCAAAGAATTGGCCAAAATTGTTTCTGTTAACTTTTATGGAGGGGCATACCAAACAGTTGAATGGTGTCACATTCAAATTTGTCATTGAAAACTATAGTTTTAAGTCCTTCAATCCCACCAAAATGATAAAATTTTCCCATTTGTACCAATGTTTTTAATATTCTTAACTACCCTAGGAGTTTTAAAAAGGGTTCTGGCATCTTGTGGCAATCTAGTACAATTTGGATTAGCCTTTATCCATTTTTATAGATCTGTCATAGCACAATGCTGTATATTATATGTTTTTCCCCAATTTCGAAGGTATTTCTCAGCACATTCACTTTTAATAGATTTCATGGGTTGGGCTTGGGCACTCGTATTTTCGAAAGATATTTGACAAAATGGATGCTTTTTCATTTCTAAAGGGTTGCATCATCCGTCTCGAAGGAACCAACACAAGGCGCGTTCGTTTATTCCCTCGGAGTGCGGAGCGCGTGGAGCTTGAACTGCCTTGAACAGAGATCAGCTGATCATCGAGCAAACCGAACTTGAAATAAAAAACGAACGGGTTTCGAGCATCTCGACCATACAACATAAGCTTAACATCATTATTTGTATTTTGTAAATCTGCCAGAAAAAAGAACAACAAAACTATTTTTCTGTGTTTTTTTTCGTAAGAAGTGAATGGCAGCAAATATCTAGTTAAGTTCCCCAAAATTTTGTAGAGGGCGCGAGTGAACTTGGAGTGCTTTGAATTTTGGCGGTAAATTTCAATAGTTTTAAACCGTTTTAATAAGTAGAAGGAATGATGACTACGTATGAACAATGAACAGTGAATAAGTTAAAATATCTTCCAAAACGTTCAGTGGCCCTTAAAAAATATTTTCAAAAGTGTCAGCGTCAGTTTGTCTTGAAACCACACATCAAACTTGACTTTTGAAGTTAAAATTACATTCGATTATTCACGCGAGAAAATTTAAAGAGCTCCAAGTACAGAAGCGCCCTCTTCATTTCAACTGTCAATATTACATGCCATTCTGTGATTTTGAAAGATTTTCGGAGAGTTTTTTTTTATTACACTATGGAGAAACAATAGGGAACTTGCAAGTGAACTAAAATTTCCCAAATTTGTTTTAAATCGATAGTTTATATTGCATAATATTTATATGATCAGTTTTTATTTAACTGATACCGCCCTTGTTACACAAAAAATAATGCCAAATTTGAAATAAAAAATTTCCCGCCAAAGCAATGCTTCCTGATGGCTACCTTTTTTGACGTCACGATTTTGTAAACAAACCTGGCAATAGGGAACTTGCAAGTGGAATAAAATTCACAAGAGCAGTCCATAACAATGTTCTTCATCCATTATGACAATTTTCACAAAAACCAAACTTCAACACACTTGAATAACACAAAAATAGCACTGCGTCAGCAGGACTTCGTTTGCTGCGTTTGTTGTTTACGAAATTTTGACGTCACGAGCGCTGTCATATTGAAATTTCGCGTTTCCGCGCCAAAGTTTCTGATTTGAGTATTTATTTAAGTTATTGCCTCAGTGTTAAGAATAGTTAATTATGTATTGTATCATTATTGAATAAACACATGCTTATACAAAAAAATGCTTGGCGACTTGTGGATGGTACTTGAAAAAAAAAACTATTATCTAGCAGGTTTCCTCTGAACGAAATTCAACTTTTATTTCTCTGACTGAAACTTTTAATTTTATAGAAACTTATTTTTTTTCGATCACTTCTACAAAGCGTTCGAAAAGCTTCAGGTATTTATCGATCCTTTCCATTTTTTGTTGGTGTCTTAGTGCTATTTACGATCTTTGATTCGTGAAATTTGAACAAAAGTCATGTTTCCTTGTTTTACCATATGTATTCCCGGACGAGTCAATGTGTGTTTTAGTTCCATGGTATGTCCTTTTCAACCCCTTCCACTTCGAATCTACCTGCAGAAATGTGTATTTTGTTTGATGGGCCTGATTTATGACCTTTGTTATTTTTTTCCAAACTTGTTTTATATGAGTTTGAAACTCATCGTCAAACCTCTGCTGAACCAAATCAATGAGATGAGTCGTTATCAACTGGCTCCATTTAATGAAATTCTTATCTGGGGTTAAGTTTTCTTTTGCTATAAAAATAATACTTGTTACAATTATATAGAATTTTAAGCCACTATGAGTAATTTAATTCAAAACAGTGAAATGTAAAACAAATCATGTTTCTGGAAAAGAAACGGGGTGTCAAAAACAACCAAAATGTATTATGCAGGTTCAGAATTCCGCATATGTACAGGGTGATCCAATATAAAGTGAACACCCTGTACTTTTCCGCTAAGAAACTTATTTTTGAAAAAATCAAGATAGCCATTTGGTATATTTTGTTTCTAGGAATTTGAAAACGTTTTTCGATATTTGATTAGATTTTTTTCAATGTGCTGTGACGAAAATAGCTATTTATACAATAAGTTACGAAATGAGCGTCTTTTAGGCACGCGACGTGAAAATTGTCCAACGAGGCAAAGCCGAGTTGGACAACACGTCGAGTGCCTAAAAGACATCGTTTCGTAACGTATTGTATACAAGATTTTTTCTACTGGCATTTTATAATAGAAAAACACAATTTTATTTCATGTGAATAAGTCGATTACGCCCAAAATCTTTGTTACCTGCTTTTGCTTGACACCTGACACTTTTCAAGCGATTTTTTCTTTCAAGATTCGACATCAATAATTAAAATCCTAGAAAGTAGGTAACAACACAAAGTTCTGTTTTGAGTAACCCAAACGTTCAATTCAATAATTACATTTTTAATATTCATAATAAATACAAAACAAAATTCAAATCTGTGTTTAGTGTGTTTTTTATTTCTGAATAATGAATGACACTTTTAGGCACTAGTGCTTAAAAATTACTTTTACGCACTCAAAAGTCACTTTTACGCATTCAAAAGTCACTTTTACGCACTGAATGCTTAAAAGTAACTTTTACGCACTCAGTGCTTAAAAGAATGTCATTTTAAAACTAAAATGACAATCGAAAAGTTGCTATTATGAAACGTCAGTAGAAAAAAGTAATTTTTTTAAATGGAATATCCTATATTTTAATCTATTTCTTAAACGCGCTTATTTTCCTCAATGCGATTTTCAATTCGGCTTGTCAAATAACCTCCGGGTACCAATATTGTTCAAATTTTACCAATGGTCTCAAACATAATTACCCATCCCGTTACTTTTCGTACACTTTGTATAACAGACTGTTCAACCAAACATAGGCAGACTATAATTATACCTTTGTGATAAGAAAATTTTGCTCTATATAAAATCAAAAATAGGCCATTCCATTTTTAAAAAGAGGAGAGTTACAAAAATTACACATTCCTGACAATTTTTTTTCCTGACAATAGATTCCAAAAGTTCAGCTAAAACGTATTCTGTTTTACACCTTTTCTTTCTCGTACTTGTAAAGGTAAGGGCTGTGGGTGGGTTTCAAAATATGGGGAATCACCCTGTACAATCAGGTAGAGAGGTTTCTTAAACAAAAGGTACAGAAAGTAGGTATATTTTATTCAGGATCCTTGAATTCGGCCACAAAATTTACCTGGCGGCCTATTCTTGAATTATTTTGTATACGGATGTTTGCCGAAATCGGCACTTTTTCGAATGAGACAAAATAATGCAATTCTTGAACACTTTTATTTGGGTCGAATGCGGATTTTTCATGCGAAAGGCAGTCGTTTGAAATAAACCATTCGAGTTTCGAAAATACGCATACGAAAAGCGTTCTCTAACCTAATATTTATAGAATTTTACTAATTTTAGACGTTAGTTATTTGATTTGTGTGTTGTGATAAACAAAATTTTTGAAGCTTATATTTATTATTTATTATAAAATGGATATTGAAGATATCGCATATGTAAATGCAGTGGAAAATGTGGAAGAGGCAGAATTATTGGCCAATAGGGGTCCCCCTCGACATTATGTGCCCCACAATCCATTTGAAGAGAGCGACGACCAATTTGTTCAAATATATAGATTAACCAAAAATAGTGTTAATGAGCTCATTGACATAATTCGGCCTTTTATGGTAGAGCCGAATAGGGTGAGTGCCCTTAACATCGAAAGGAAGGTGGGTGTTGTAGTATCAACTATAACTATAATGTAGTAATATTATCAACTATAGTTATGTAGTAGGTTATTTTTGTTCATGAAAATTTATTTGATTATTATTCATCCAAGATTTTAGTATATTCAACGATTACTGATATTTTTAGGTATTAACAGCTTTGAGATTTTTCGGTTCAGGAAGTTACCAAATGGATATTGGTCGAAATTTGCACCATTCCGTTTCACAGGCATCAGTATCCAGGTGCCTTGAAGAAGTTACTAATGCTATTAATACCCCAGCTATTTTCAATACATTTGTAAAGCTTCCTCCAACTGTACCTGAGTTGGAAGCAATTAGAAATAGGTAAGTAATATGCTGTTCAAAAAATTTGTTTATCTCATTTTGATAAACAAAACTACAATAGACATATTATACTTTATGCACCTTTATGTATTGTAGGTACTTTTTAAAAAATATATTTCTTCAATATAGGTCATGATTTAGATTTTGAATGTAGGTATAGGAGCAAAGTTACAGTAAATCTATAGCAACTATTGAGAAAATTTACTGAAGAATTTTTTTTCACTTGAGGAAAAAAAAATTTGCTCATTTTACTTATGTCTTGAATAAAATAAAAAAGCAATTTTAGAATTGCATTACAAAACTTTTTTGCTAAAAATTATCTTTCACAACTTCTAGGCTTAAATCACTTGTATATTAAATAACTTTTGTGTAATCCTACTT